CGTGCCGTTCCTGCCCGGGGCGGGGGATGGCGGCGGTGTCGCTCGGCTTGGCGGGGCAGCTTGGTGGCACAGGGTGGCCGGCGGCGCGCCCCCGACCCAGATCTGGGCCCTGCGAACCCCATCTGGGTCCTAGCGGGTCAGCCCCCGGCATGGCTTCGTTGTCTTCTGCATGGTGAGGAGGTGGAGCAGCTCGGACCAGGGGTAGCGACCCCGACAGCATGCTTGTTTCAGCGCGAGGGCTGGAGCTTTATGGGCCTTGGGGGACCCGGCCGGGCCTGGGCCCATGGGCCTGGTATGCTCCTGCTATTGCGTCCGGTCGGCTACCGTCATTAACGGTGGAGGTTGGGCCCTCCCGCGTGCCGACGGTGCTGCTGCCTCTAGTCTCGGCTCCTCTTCCTCGGTGTGCAGACCTCACTTCGTGGTGTGCAGACCGCATTGGCGCAGGGTGGTGGTCGGTTTTGGTGGCGGGCTCCAGAGCACCTAAGGTGAAGGTGGGGATCCGGAGAGATCCCTATTCTTATGGCCGATACCGACGCCGTGGCGCCTGAGGGTGCCACCAGACCTTCCTGGAGGGCGTTGGGGGCTACCCTTCTTCTTTCCTTGTCGCGTACCGGGGAAAACCCTTGGCAGCAACGTCATCATCATTGTGTCCCTTCTTGGAGGTGTTGTTTGGTGTCGGCGCTTCGGAGTCTAGGAGCTTGGTGAGAGATCTCTGGTGGGCGCAGTGGTTGCGTGGCTTCTCCGTGTTTTTTGTCGATCCGCTGTTGTCTGCATTTGTTCCTTTTGTATTTTTTCTTTCATTTCTTTTGGGCGTGTCTGTGGTAGCACCTATCATTGGTTGTATTGGTTGGTTGCTTTGTAATACAAAGCAGGGGGAACCCTTTTTCGTCGAATTTTGTAGGAATTCTAAATAGGAATTTTGTAGGACAAATTCCTTTAGAACCCTTTGGTTTGTACGAATGGATTCTTATTTCTATATAAGATAGGAACCAATCCTTCACATGTTAAAAAAACATTAGCCTAGACCCAATAGAAAAGTTTCTATCCTATTAATCAAGAGTGACATCTCTTTTCCTATAGGAATTGAAATGCATGTCATTTCAATTCATATGATTTTTCTATTCCTATGATATTCATATCCTATTAACTAAGGGAGGCCTAAAGGCTAAAGCTGAGAAAAATCCAAGACCAGCTTAGTTCATAGATTTCCGTAAGTTTCTAGTGGATGAATTTCCACATTGGGCTTCTAAATTCAAGGAAGACTTGAAACTTCTAAAAGTATAAGGTCTCTTCTGAGATCTCCGATTACCTAGACCAATTCATTCCTACTGTTGTAGTTTGATTTGACTTAATTGACCTCCCTGCCCCATGGGCAAAGCCCCATGTGCTTGTATATAACTCTGTCGAGAAAATTATGTTTTTGGTTCGTCAAGTTTCTCAAAATTATAGACTTGGTTCCTCAAGATTTTTTGGTATACATTTGATACTTCAAGTCTCAAAACCGGCTAAGTTTGGTCCAAAACCAGATTTTGAGCACATTGATCAGGGTTTGACTGGGTTTGACCACGTTTGACCAGGCTTGACTATGTTGACCAGGTTTAACTGTGAAACAGTAAATTCAAAAAAAAGCAAACAAATTCAAAGAGATATGAAATTTTGTGATAACCAACATGCTTGGATGCGCTAGGTGCGTGTAAATTTTTGTGGTCAAATAACATTTGAAGAGCTCTACTGAAAAAACATTTTTTTTTGTGAGCCAGAATTTATTTATTTATTTATTGCCACGAGCTCCTCAAATATCGAAACACCATATAAATTTTCACGCACCTAGCGCACCCAGGCATGCACCACGTACATTTATTTATCTATTTGCCGTGAGCATGGCACCTTTTTTCGGATGGCAAGTTTCAATTTATTTTTTGGGTTAGTTTTCTTTTTTCGGATGGCAACTTTAGTTGTAAAAATTATCAGGACCCGGAGTGCTTCATGCCACATGTGTGACACTTATCATTGGGGAAAACTATTTATCAGTACGCTAAAATGAGATATGGTAGTTATAGAGAAAATGAATATACTATTCAGATAAATAAAAAACGGTTAAATACTTGAAACTAGAGATATACTCAGATTAAAAAAAAGATATACTCACAAACAAGACGTAGATTAAAAAAAAGATATACTATTGTCTCTGTGGTTAGGGGAAACTCCAACGAGTCCTCCTACAGCCTGAGCAGCACGTCCAGCAGGTCCTCGTCGTAGGTTCCGGAAGCGCCGACGCCGGCAGCTCTCTTGACCTTGCGCCCCTCGATAACCTTTCTGATGATGCGCTGGGTGCGGCCGTAGCTTCTCTTCATGTGGCGCTCGCCATTGCTCAGCCACCTGACTAACCTGGACGACGGAAAGAGGTCGACGAGGCAGAAGGCGCCCAGCAGCTCAAACGCCTTGTGCAACTCACCGAGGTACTCGTCCTGCTGCTCGAACCTGCCGCCGAAAACCGCCCTCGTCACGACGTCGTTGCTGAGCGCCATCACCTTCTGTGTGACGTTGATGGTGGCGGCGCCGGCGGAGGCGGTGATGGAGCGGAGGAGGCTGGCCGTCTCCTCGGCCCTGATGCCCTCCATACGGTTCACCTGCGTGGAGCCGAGGAGCTCCATGATGCACACCTTGCGCATCTGGCGCCAGTGGTCGCCGTAGGGGGCGAAGATGATGCCCCTGCCGCCGCAGCCGGCGATGTCCACCGTGGCGCTGCTCGGCCGGTCCGCGAACACGGGGTCGTTGGTCTTCATCACCAGCGCCGCAGCCTCGGCGCTGGAGACCACCACGGCCGGGACCTCCCCAAGCCTGAGGAGCATCAGCGGGCCGTACCGGCGGCATAGCTCCGTGATCTTCCGGTGCGGGACGCCACCAGCGAGGTGGTGTAGGCTGCCGATGACCGGGAGAGTCCATGGCCCCGGGGGCAGCTTGTGCTTCTGTGGCTTTCTCTTGCCGCCGTCCATGCTAGGCATACAGAGGAGTGATCAATCAGTTGCCTTGCCGATTGCAGAGACGGGCCATATATGCCTGTACTGTTGCAGTGACGGCCTCAGAATTTTAGTCCAATGTTAGCATTTTCCTTCGAAAAAACACACACGTTTTCAAATGCAATTAAATTTGATCCAATCAGATTTTGTCCCCTCCAACTGCCCTACGAGCTGGTGATGATGTCTGCATTTGTTGAATTTGATCTTGGCCGGCCGGCCACATATTCTAAGATAATGGGCGCGACTAGCTAATTGGCGTTTTCTTTTGTCTGAATTCTGGACGTACGACAGCAACGGCGAAAGCTACGCCGCCCAGGGCTTTGATCCATACTGTGCTTGCCAAGAGTTATTATCCGTAATTTAATTTTTATATGCACACTGTTCATGTTTGTGACTTGTGAGTATTCTTCTTGATTTTATTACTGTATTACTAATACATCTGAATTCGAAATGCACTATGTTTACAAACATTTTGGTGGCACACATATTTCGTTAGTCAAACTGAAGACCTAAACACCAGCAAAAAAAAAAGACTGAAGACCTACAAATTTGTGCCCGCCTTATAAACACCGGATGGGGGGAGTAACTCGCATCATTGTTGTACACAGACAAACGTAGTCTAAAGGATGGCATGTCATCCTGGATTGATAATATTTAAGTTTTCCTTTCTTTTCCGTTTATTATGTACCCCTAGAGTATCTCTGGTTGTTCCCCCATCAACCATTGTAAAACTATTCTATGTTTTCCTTTATTAATGAAAAATGACACACAGTAGGGCTTTTGCCTTACTGTTTTATGGTAAAAAAAAACACAGATAAACGTATGTAATTTGTGGAAATTTATGGAATGTAGAATCTTTTTTTGCGGATGGAATGTAGAACCAGTCTATTAAAATTTAAGTATCC